CAATGATGGGTGTTGTGACCAGTCTCTTTTTCAACTCCTTAAATGCTACCCTGCAATCATCAGGGGGGAAAACGGGTGATCTTTTTCTAACAACTTACAGAGAGGGTTGGCGATTTGGGAGAAGTCTTTTATGAACCTCCAGTAAAAACCGGCATGTCTAAGGAAGCTTCTGATGGCTTTGACTGAAGTTGTTGGAGGCAGCTTTGCTATTACATCAACTTTCGCGTGATCCACCTCTATTCCCTTGCTTGACACTCGGTGCCCCAAGACTATGCCTTTTTGTACCATAAAATGGCACTTCTCCCAGTTCAGAACCAAGTTAGTCTCGATGCACCGTTTCAGCACACGCGTCAGATTTATCAGGCACTCATCAAATGAATTTCCCACCACTGAGAAGTCATCCATGAATACCTCCATTATGTCCTCAACCATGTCAATGAATATGGAAATCATGCACCGTTGGAATGTGGTAGGTGTGTTGCATAGGCCAAAGGGCATCCGTTTAAAGGCATAAATGCCATACGGGCATGTGAAGGAGGTCTTCTCTCTGTCCTCCGGTGCAATGGAGATCTGATTGTACCCTGAGTACCCATCCAGAAAACAGAAATGTGACCTCCCTGCCAATCTGTCCAACATCTGATCAATGAAGGGAAGTGGGAAGTGGTCTTTCCGGGTGGCTAGATTCAACTTTCAATAGTCCATACAAATTCTCCAGTCTGTGACGGTTCTTGTTGAGATCAATTCATTGTTGTCATTTGTCACAACCCTCATGTCACCCTTTTTAGGAACACATTGCACTGGGCTCCCCAGCTGCTGTCAGAGATTGGGAAAATAATTCCCGCATCCAACCACTTTATCAACTCCTTCTTCACCACTTCCTTCATGTTGGGGTTCAGCCTCATCTGATGTTCCCTGGAAGGTTTGTGCTCCTCTTCTAGCAGAATCTTGTGCATGCATTAGGCGGGGCTGATCCCCTTGATGTCTGCCATGGTCCACCCCATGGCAGTTTTGCACTCCTTTAGTACCTGTAAAAGTTTCTGAACCTGCATATCTAACAAACTAGATGAGATAATAACAGGTAATGTGGAGTCAGGTCCCAGAAATTCATACCTGAGGTGGCTGGCAATGGCTTTAACTCCAGCTTTGGTGGTTCTTCAATGGATGGCTCAGCTGGAGGAGTTTCTCTCTTTTCTAAGTGCAAGGGCTCAAACTCTAGATTTCTTTCCCAGAACCCTCTACCTTCCAATGCCAACACCCATTCTGCCAAATCCTCACCACACTTCATCTAAGTTCATCAAACATGCAGCAAGGGGGTCCTCAATTGTCAACACCTCATTATCGGACTCTACAATTACATCAACGGCATCAATAAGAGAGCAATTGGCGAACTCACTTGGTCGCCTCATAGACTTCCGCACATTGAATGTCATTTCCTCATCATTGAGTCTCATTTTGAACTCCCCAGTCTCACAGTCAATCAGAGCTCTCCCCGTGGCCAAGAATGGTCTTCCTAAGATTATAGGAATTTCTTCATCCACTTTACAATCCAAGATCACAAAATCTGCAGGGAACACAAATTTCCCCACCTAAATAAGCACATCATCAAGGATACCGAATGGACGCTTCACAGTTATGTCGGCTAGCTGCAACAACATAAGAGGTGGGTCTAGCTCTCCCAATGCCCAACCTCTTATAGATAGCTAGGGGCATAAGATTAATGTTGGCCCCTAAAACACAGAGCGCCTTAGCAAAGGCGAAATTCCCAATAGTGCATGGAATTGTAAATCTACATGGATCAGACAGCTTTTCAGCAATAGGTCTCGTCACCACTGCACTACAGGTCTGAGTAAGTGTAACCGTAGCCAAGTCTTGAAAATCAAATTTCTGGGACATCAAGTCCTTCATCATTTTTGCGTACCCAGGCATCTCCTTTAAAGCTTCAATCAGTGGAATATTTACCTGGATTTGTTTGAGCATTTCAAAGAACTTTTTATACTGCTCCTCCTTTTGATGCTTGGCCAGCCTCTGTGGAAAGGGTGCAGGAGGTCTCTTCTTCCCAATCACTTGGGACTTCTCTTTATCAGCTACTATTTCAACTACTGGCTCAGCTACTTTCTCGGTCTCCTATTGAATGTTCTTTTCTTCCTAAGCAAGCTGGACTGTCACCTCTGTCAGTATCGTAGACTCATCTAGCTCAATGGGCACTATAATGAATGTCTCAGCCTGTATATTTTCTCGAGCTCTCTCTTGTTCTACATCTAGATCCCTGCCATTACGGAGACTCACCGCCATTAGCTGCTTTGGGCCTTGATCTTTTGGATTAATCTGGGTGTCTACAGGTAATGTCCCTTGAGGACGATTGTTCAGAGACATTGAAATTTGGCCCAATTTCACTTCAATATTTTTGATTGTTGCGCTATGTGCGTCTACTCTTTCATTTATTTTTGCATTGGACCTAATAACCTGCTGCATCATTGCTTCAAGTCTAGTGAACCCATCTTCTTGCCTTCCACCATGTTGTTGCTGAGGTGGGGGATACCCTTGCTGCTGATTATTGTACCCCTGTGGCCTTGGATAAGGTGCCATACTATTGGGAGGTCTCATACCTCCCATGCTTCCAGCGTTGTACTGTGGCTGAGGTGGTCTGTATAGCTGCTGAGTTTGCTGACCCCAGTTCT